GGGAGGGAGCGAGGGAGGGGGCGAGGGAGGGAGCGAGGGAGGGAGCGAGGGAGGGAGCGAGGGAGAGAGGGAGGGACGGACGGACGGACGGACGGAAGGACAGAGGGAGGGAGAGAGGTAGGCAGGGAGGGAGAGAGTGAGGGAGAGAGAGAGAGAGAAGAGGAGAGAGACAGAGAGAGCGAGGAGTGAAGGCGACGAGGAAATGATCCGCGTAAGGGTGAGGAAACCTGTGAATGCGATGAAGGGGGAGGGGGGGCGGCCTTCACCAAGTAGAGAGGGTGCGCTTCCAGGATCCAGGTAGGGCAGAGAGCCCACCCGCACGGTGTACAGCGAAGGAGCCCCGGACATGAAGTGGGACTGAAGCGGCCTGAAGTGCGGAGGGAGCCGGCGGGCCACTCATCCACTTCAGTGACCACGCTACGCTACGCTCCGCCACGCTCCGCCACGCCCGCGGGGCAATAAAGGCCGCCCCCTTGGACATTACACGCTGCTCCGGCACCACCTGCTTGTTGGGCACACTGGAAACACAAGTGTGTGAATGTCGCACGCGCGTAGTAATGTAAATATCGATTTGTGAAAAGATTTTTCCTAGAAAATTGACACGTTAAACCCCCCGAAGTGTACAAATGGATATTCAGACACCTACAAGTGAGCGACATTCACACACTTGCGTTTCCAGTGCACGGGCACGCAACAACGACGGCTCGTGTCTTCAGAGCAAAAAGTACTGGCAGTTTGTTTTCCGCACAACCAAAATCCTTATTATTTGACATTGTTTTTGTGTGTGTTGTTTTAGAAAGTCGGCCTCAGGAAATTAATAAAAGGCGAGCCGAGCGTGTTTGTGACGACAGGGCGGGCGGTACAGGGCGGATGTGGGGTGCGCCCCCTCCCCCTCGGGCAATGCCAAAGCCAGTCTCATAACCGAGACCGTGATTGGATACCGTGGCGAATGATTATTTCCACGTGCTCCGGTGGCAGAAATTCCAAGCCGAGCCGAAGGGGGAGGGAGAGGGTGGCACGCCAGGAATGGCTGTAAGCCTGCCCACCGGCCGCAGTGCCTGTAACCTTCCATAGTTCGTGGATCAGGGAGAGATCACGAGATCACGACTCTTTGACAGAATGATATTTGTTGGTGAGACGAGCCGCCCGTTTCTAAAATCGGGTCCAATAAAGGGATTATTACTATCGATACAATGTTTTATTTTAGCGAATTCATGTTTTGCTCTAGTGGCTTATTAATTCTAGTTGCATCTCTATCTGCCTACGTCCCCATTCCCTATTTCTACTCTCTAGCGGGCCACTACACTAGACAGGGGTGGTACTCACTGCCAAGACAGCGTCCCCGCGATGCCCTCGCGCAGCCGGTCCTTGAGCGAGCGCTGCCTGGACGGGCCGGACCCGGTGAAGGCCGCCATCCTGTCCAGCTTGGCGGTGTCTCCTCAGCTGGGCTGGCCTCCTAGTCGGCGTCGGCGACCTCCCCGGGGCTCTTCATGTCGTTGATCGGGCTGGCGAGGCAGGAGAGAGCCGTTGAGACCACACCTCTCAATGGATCCCTCCGATCGCTACACAACGGCCACGCTAAGAATCGAATTTTGAAACCTCTAGCCCTACAACCTCCCATGCAACCCTCAGTGTGAGACCTTCCAATTGAGCCCCTTAACACCTATGCTTGAAAACTTATCCAAACTGAAGCGTCTGTCAGGGCAGCCCTCGATGTGAAACCCTCTATCCGAACACAAAACAGTGCGTGAAACCCTTTTCTACCTCAACAACGCGTGAAACCCGGAAAAAAAAACTCTCAGCTAACCCCAACGGGAAAGTCACTGCGTAGCCCTTTCGAGCCCTCACAGTGGAGCCCGCAGCTGCACTGCAGCCGGCCGTCCCGAGCCCGTGGCGCCACACCTGGAACAAAACAAGCGACGATCAGAATCAATCGGCTGGGGAAAACGCCGGGGGGGCTTTTTGTCGCTGTGTGAGTCGAACGCGTGTTGAGCAGCGGTATGGGGTTCGGGAGAGAAGGGGGATATGGGTGGGAGAGGGAGAGGGTGGGAGAGGGCTGAAGCCCAGCCCCAACCCGAACAACATGCCTGCCTGCCTGCAGCGACATGGTAATGCTTTCCGGCTAAGCGGGACGTTCCATAAAACAAGCGAAATTAAAAAGCAACACAGCAAATCCAGACTACTGGGCCCACTCCCCCGCGGGCTCCAGGCCGCCCCAGCCAGCTCCAGGCCCTCTGGAATGCACCGCCCCTCTCCCCCGCTCCCCGCACCTCTGGAGTTAGAGAAGGGGCTATGAGCTGAGCGGGAGGCATACACGAACAAAGGCAGGCCCAGCGGGGAACCCGGCTATCCCTTCCGTCATATTTCCACTTCACTCTCTCCGGCAGTTTACAGCAAACAAAATTTAAATAATGTGTTTCAAATTTATGGCAGTAACAACAAGGAGAGGCGAAATCTCTCCGCGCAGTCGGCGCAAGTTGTTGTTGTTGATGATGTTCCATGTGCCGCCAAAGCGAGATATTTGATTTGACAACATCAGGAAGCAGGCTGCCCGTGTCTGTGCGTGTGAATCGCACACCTCGAAGCTGGCACGAGGCCCACCCCGCCCCGTCCCGCCCCAGCATCTCGTCTCCCCCGTTGTCACCTAGATAACGTCATCACCCCATGCAGGAGCAGAGGTTCAGAGAGCGGCGCGGCGCGGCGTGGCGTGGCGTTGTGATTGGCGCCGCCTTCCTGCTAGAGTGTCGCGACTAGGCGGCGAGCGCTATGCTCGATAGAGCAGCACTGCGCCGTGAGTGCCACCTCTCCCCGCTCCGCCCCGCCCCACCTCGCCCCGCTCGCCAAGTTATTTTCTCGCCTGCCAGTTGGAAAACAACCCCTCCGCATCCACCGAGCGGCGACGCCACGCCACGCCTCGGCCCCGCTTGCTTTACCTGGACAACCACTCGTCTCTCTCCCTCCATCCCTCCCTCCCTCCCTCCCTCGCTTCCTCTCTCTCTCTCTCTCTCTCTCCCTGTCTCCCCTACTTCTCACTTCCTTTCCCCCTTCCGGTCTCCGGCCCCTCCTCGTCCTGCCTCCGCCCCGTGACCCTGAGAGGCACGTCGGCCCGTGGAGCCGCACCCTAACGCACAGCCCCGCCCCACCCCGCCCGCCACTCAGCTCGACTCCAGCGGCGCCCCGCCGAGCGGAAACAGACCGGGCTGTTTGTCAAACTTGAACGACTTTCGGTCGCTTGCCCCCTCCCCCAGCCCCCTTCGCCCTGTATCCTTCTCTGTCACTTTGCTGGCCCTCGCCCCTCTCCCGCTCTCTCCCTTTCCTCCTGCCGCGCCCCTCCACCGCAAGTCTTCGCGTAGACCGACCCCAAACAGGAGCGGGGCAGGGGGTAGGAGAGGGGCAGCTGGTCCACAAGGGCCATGGGGCCATAGGGACCGCCCAGCAGGCCGGACCCCGTGGGAGAGAGGAAGAGAGTGGACGGGAAAATAATGGAAAGAATTTATGTCCGCGTGATGACCGTCGAAAAGCAGAGGGCTCTGGATTCTGGCAGCGGGCGCTTGTGCTCATGGCGCGTTCACTGTTAAAAACAAGGGGGGGGGGTCAGAATAAATGAGAATATCATGGCGCACTGTGTTTTCACAACCATGACATCACGGATTTATTTGTTTTCCCTCTGAGAATAACGGGAACGGGAGTTACAAATCTGCGGTGTAACGCCAATATACCAGATTCTCATTTATTTTAAGACAACATGACCCGGTCCCACCGAACGTTTAGCAAAAACAACCTCGAACGTAACTCGGCCTCGCCCGCTCGCCTCCACGCGCCCGCGAATCCATTTTGAATTCCGGCGCTGTGGCCAGTTGGAACGCCCACCACGGCCCCGCCACGCCCCACCACGCCCCGCTGCGGCCGCGCTCCACTGGCCGTGCTGTAGGGCGAGCGTGTCGGCTTGTCACGGCGCGGGGCGCAAAGGGGAGGGGGGGGGGGACGCAATTGGGGAAAGACATTAAAATGGCGAAACTCAATCAAGTGGGATCAAGCGATTGAATTGTGGCTCCACGGCTGGGCGCCTGTCGACCCGACTGTCCTCGCGCCTCGGGAAATGAGGGCGCACCGAGAGAGAGAAAGAGAGAGAGAGAGAGAGAGAGAGAGAGAGAGAGAGAGAGAGAGAGAGAGAGAGAGAGAGAGAGAGAGAGGGGGGGGGGGGGAGAGAGCATAGCTCATCCAACACTGTCGCCCCAATCTTCTCTCTATTCTTTTCGTTTTTCTGGGAGGATTGGGAGGGGGGTTACGCTGTGTTTGTAATTTTGAGAGGTAGACATCTTTCAGCTGATCAATCCCTTAAAATATTGCACCAACAATACAATTTCAGTGTTGCAATTATTTTTTACGCCCCATCACGTTAATCACTACTTGAAGAAATAGAAATAGTCAGAGACCAGAGAGCGCCTGCGGGCTAGGCAGGCAGCCCCGTGGAGCATGCCCGTCCCGCGGGTCTGCCTACGCCGCGGTCCGCAGGCGGTGGCCCACGGCAACGGCCGCTCCCCTCTCTCTCTCTCTCTCTCTCTCTCTCTCTCTCTCTCTCTCTCTCTCTCTCTCTCCCTCCCTCCCTCTCCTCTCTTCACACCCCTCGCTTTCGTCTCCCTCCCCTACAACCATCGCGCTCCAGCGATTTAGTAACGTGTCCCCCACAACGGACGCGGCCAACGGGCAAAAAAAAAATTAAGTGTGACAAGAAGAGGGCGGATCGAGGCCGGATGCGGGCAGGGGAGGGGGTGGGGACGGGAGGGAAGACGGGGAAAAACATCCCATAGACGGGGGGCGATCAATTATTTCGAGCGAGACAGGGCGGGCGGGCGTTGGGCAGGAGTTGGGACGGGCGAGATGTGCCTGGAGCAGGCAGCGAGGGATGGGAGGCGGGAGAGGGCGGGAGCAGCCACGAAGCAATGAGGTATTGGGTGGCGCTCTTCGAAACATTACCGCCAACGGAGAGGGGAGAGGAGTGGAGGTTGGAGGAGGAGGGGCAGCGTATAGGGTTTTTAGAGCTTTCGGTCGGCCTTTCGGGGTGGGATTCCCTAACCACCAAGGTCATACCGCGCCCGCCACCACACTACACCACAACCCTCCTGCCGCTCCTGCCACACCGCAACAGGAGAGAGAGGGAGAGGAGGGGGGGGGGAGGACGCTCACCTTTCACCGCGCCGCCGCGTCCCGCGAGGAGCAGAGCCGGGCGCGGGGGGCGTGGAGGGGTTACAATTACCGCGGCGCGTGCCCGACACGAGCCCGGCGGGAGGGGAGCGCGCGGGAGGATTCAAAAGCGGCCGAGCGCGGAGCCCGCGGCACGGCAGCGCCC